GAGAGAGAGATGGGAGGGGGAGAGATAGGCTGTGCGCCCGCGAGCGCGCGCGTCTGTTTGTGGCGCGCTCTGGGGACATTTTCAGACTTTTCACTCGAACACCCAGGGTTTTTCGTCTTGGCCTTTCTTTGCGTCCCCTCCCCCTCTTTTGCGCTCCTCCCTCTCCCCTAACCCATTCCTACCCCAGGCTGCCGAGACGCTCTTCTGCGGGCCTTTGTATGGCTGGCGCGGGCTCCCCAGGGTCGGATCCCTCATCTCTCATAAAAGAAGATGAATAGTTTTCACAGTAAACCCTCACACAAAGGTCTCCAGCCAAGGGGTCCTCTGTCTCCCTTCCTGTTAGCTGGCTCTTGAGGTGCTGTGACGCGCTCTCCCTCTTTCCCCCTCTTGGGGCGCCAGGGCCCACCCCAAGGAGCTGTGGGTGGTGATCAGGACCCGGAGATGCCGGGTGGAACTTCTCGGGGGCCTCCTGCCAGCCTTCTTGGGCAGAAATCCTGAACCCGAAGACCTCCAGGGGGAGGACGCAGGTTCTCCACCGCCCCACATCCCCACCTCGTCGGCGGGAGGAGGCCCGAGAACTCTGGCCCGCCTAAGGGGAAAGAGGGAGGGGTAAAGGAAGAGAGTCGGGGAGGGGTTGATAATATAACCGGAATTCTTTAAACAGACTTACCTGGCCACCTGTTGAGAATGCATTTGGGTTGGCTTGCTCCGGAGTTATGCGAAGTAGAAACACAAAGCAAACCCCAAGTTGGGAGAAAAAATCTTTCTGACTATTCCAGTTTCGGCCTGTCAGACTCGCAGCTTTGCGCTAAGGTCGCAGCTCTGCGCTTGGGTCGCAGCTCTCTGCGCTAGAATCGCGAGGCTGTAGAGCCAAGAGCGACTTTGTCAGGTGCCCCGCCACTTCAGCACTCCCTCATCCCAGGACTGGCCCTCGGACTAGGCGCTCAGGGTTCAGCACGGGCAGCTCGACTTAAGCCGGGGCAGGCTTTCTAAACCCTGCTCAGAAGTCAAGAGCAGCAGCGCCGCCGCTCTTCGCGGCCTTTCATGCCGCAGCCACTCCTTATTCTTGTGCCTCGGCCTCTCTGGGCGCCCCCGGACAAAGCCCCCCGGAGCCCGGCCGCTCCCTTCCCGCTAAATCCCCTTCGGGGTCAGCGCGCTACCAGCACCGGGCCGTGCGCCTCTCCTGCCAGTTCTTGTGGCTCTTAAAGAGCGGCACCCCCCCTCCGCCCCGCGCGCTCCTCCGACCCCCGTCTCCCCGCCCCTCTCCTCTGGATCTAGCCCCCAACTCCGAGGTCCCTGCTGCCCTGACCATTGCCCGCGGACTCCCAACCCCCTCCTTTCTCCTCCCCCGAGCAGCTGGTGGGTCCTACCCTCCGCCTCAGGTTCCCCTTCTCTCCAACAGCTCCCACCGCCCCCCATCCCCCTCCCCGGCTTCTCCGCCCCTACTTTCGCCCTTTAGATTGATTGTGGCCCGGAACACTGGCTTTGACCAGCTGGGATGCTACCTAAAGATTGTTCGTTTGGGCTTGATTTTGGAGATGGAGGAATGGGAATGGGGCAGGGCATGCCCTTGTAGCTGGAGAGAGTGAGGGAGGGAAAGGGTAAAGGGGGAACTCAGATGGACTGAGGGCTCTGCTATCCCAAGGCCTACCTGGCCTTTTGGCAGAGGGTGAGGACTGGCCCTGGGCCACTCCTTCCTAGAGTTGGGCACCCTGGAATGGGGACTTGAGGCTATAAACTTGAGCATGCCTTCTGTGTGGAGGTTATCTAGGCACATTGGGGGTGGGGGATCAAGGATACCGGGAATTTAGTCTGTGAGGACTCTGATTCCCAAACCTTATGTATTCATCCCTCTAAAAGTAACTTTCAAGGGTCCAAGGACTGGGCAGGGAGGGAGTAAGAGGTGACCTTGAATTTCAGTGGTCCAAGGAAAAGGGTCATGTTGGAGAGAGGAGAGTGTGAGGGAATCTATTCTTACTGAGGACTGAGGAACAATATCTAATAAAGTTTCTTTATCACTTGCCCCAAGAAAAGGAAGAGGGCAAATAAATGGTTGCCCACGTTGCCCTTTCTTCCAGAGCTTTCTCCCTCTTCTTCTCCCCTAGGCCGGAATTAGGCCCAGTCTTCCAAGAATGATGGCTCTACCTAGGGTACTTTCTTCAGGAATAAAATATGATGAAAGAGAGACCAGAGAAGGCACTTGGGAGAGGGGAGGAGGGAATGTGGGCAGTTAGCATAGGCTGTAGTGCCCTGTTTTCCCTGCTGCCAACTGTCACAACATTTGACTGTTGGGTCTGTGTGGATGGTGGGGGCAGTGGTAGATTGGGGGAATTGGGTCTGCTCACCCTTTCTCAAATACCGACCCTAGTTCTAGTTGTCAGGAGAGGATTTGGTGGGAAAGGAACTTGGGGAGGGAGGAGGATGAAAAGCTGACCCTCCCCTGGGCATCTGCCCTCTGCCATTCCAACATTAGTCCAGATGCAGCTTTAAGGAGTTGGGGTGACTAATTGATTTGTAGTTGGCCCTCTTGGGAGAGGGTGGCAGTGCATTCCCTAGGCTAGATTCCTAAGGCTGCAAAATCTGCCCCCCCCATTTCATAGGCACAACCGGTATGGCTCCTATCCCCCAAGTCTTCTAGTCATTTCTCTTGGGACTAGATCAACCAGAGAGGCTGGGTTTGTGCCCACCCTCCTAGGCCTGGCAGTGGGAGGTGCTGCAGCCCAAGACAGAGCCAAACTTCTCTTGTTTGAGGATGTGGGGGGTGGAAGGGTCTTTAGCGGGTGGTGGGGCTCATTAGGCAGAGCGGGGTGCCGAGAGGTGCGCGCTGCCGGCCTCTGAAGCCGCCTTTGAGCCGTCGGGGCTGGTTCATTAAGCGGCGCTAACAAGGCGTACAAATGCCTGGCCCAGCAGCTTTCTTGCAATGCCGGGGCCTTAGCAGGGCGCCAGGCTAATGAGGGTCACTCAAAGGGGCTGATCAAATATTCAAATTTCCCCGCACGCCAGGAACTTTTATGCACCGAGAAAGTTGAGGCAACTGAGCTGTGTTTATGGTCCTGGGCGACAATTGCTTGGAGCGCGGGTCCCCGGAGGCTAAGG